TTCTTTCTTTCTCCCTTTCTTTCTTTCTTCCTTGATTAATATACCAGCCATGCATTCATCCATTCATCCATTCATTATTCCTTTCTTTCTTTTCAACTCGCTGCTCTCTCTCTTTCGAAAATACTAATTTAAAAAATCGAAATCAGTACTTATTTCCTTARTTTTTAAAGTTTGCATGTGTATCTGAAATCGCTTTTTATAGCTTCCCTTATCTAAGACCGTCTCATTCTATTTGAACAAATTGAACTATGAAATGTAATTTCTTCATATCTGCCGCTAAATACACAATATAATTTTGTACTTTAAGGATGTTGTACTGAGCATGTTTACCTATGATCTTTGACGTCCAGGGTTGAATATTACAGAATCTTAAAATGAATGAACTAAAGCTGAAAAATCTTTAAATATAAAAAAGAATGACATTGTAATATTTTAATGTATTCAAAAAGACTTGTAGCCGGGTTTTCTCAGATCTTTTTTTGAAATGTTGTTTTCTCCATTTTGCAGTATTTATTCCTTCAGTTTGCCTACTTAGCCGAGAATAAAATCCTAAAGTTTCCATTCTACTTCTATTTTTCTATTTTCACTTCTCTAACGTCCTTTAAGTCGTTTGCGTTAACGATAAATATATTTGCAAAAATTCTCTTGAAAAAATCAATATTTCATTTCAACGCTTAGAACAATTGTCTTACGCCTTTATTATTGTTATCTTCTGAATCTAAGACTTAGAAGTTTGAATTCAACTTCCCATAAAAAATACGATTATTCTGTTTGTTTTGAAAACGATTTCAATCGCAAACCAATACAATTCACTGTCATATTCTATGCATAAAGTAGAAAACCTATAAAGTTATACATATGTTGATGTCGCTTGCTATTTGTCAATGTGAAAACCACAGATGTTTTTTGACGAATTTAATTTTCAAAAGGAAAATTTCTATAATGATTGCGAATGCTTTGTTCTCTCGATTTTGCAAAAGATTATTCTGTTCAAATGGTTTTCAATCAGTGCTTGAGTCCTGAACAGCGCAATTCCCGTCAGTATTTTATCTCAGATTGGACGAATGATAAACAGAAAATCATTAGAAAGCTCTGTTGATAGCATCCGATCACACTCACATTGAACGACAGTGAACAATACTGCAAATATAATAAAGAAAATCTGCCGTAGTATTTTTAACGGATCTCAGTTGACTACCTCATTATGTTAAATTAAAATTACGCGATTATTAATAAGAATTTTTAATAAAACGCCACAAAATTTCGACCATAATGTTTTCCCGCGATGGCAGCCGTTGTTCTGTTCATTATCGGTTTGTTTGCCTCGTAAATGGGTGGAGACTCACTCCTACCAGGACTTGATGAATAATTCACGCGTTTTATTCAAAGCACGCCAAAGCATATTAATTTTTTATTTTATTGTTTCGCTTTCTATTCCATACATTTAGGAATAAAACAACTTGGTCAATATGCCTGAAAACCTCGTACATTAGTCGCCTATCGATTTTTTACAAATCATAAAGATTTTATTAATATTTAATATAATATTTGACTAGTTTTTGCCTAAAGATACTCGGACGTTTTTCTGCAATTCCCAGTATTGTAAATATAAGGTATAAAATGCTATCTGGGAAATAAAAAATCTTGTAACCTTAAGACGTGGGTTGAATCCATTAAAGTATTTCTACTGTTTTACTATTATTTTTACTGTGCGAATTCCCTAAAATATAGCTACATAAATATAAGCACATGACCCAAGGTACAGTGTTCTTACCAGGAATTTCTTTCAGGGGGTCAAAGGGCCCATCAATCCGAAATTTAGGGGCCATTTAGAAAACTGGATGGGCCATTTCCAAAATCTTAAAACAAAGAATAATAATGTTTTTAGCCAGTACCTCTGTTGCAAATCTAAAGCAATGTAAGACAGTTTTTTTATTAGTAATGATAGTACAATAAACTTGCACTGGGCAGCCATACTTGAGCCTTCAATAAACAAGTTCAGTTAACACAGAATAGTCCCAGACCTCTTTGCGAGTGAAATACAAGATGGCGGCTATGTTCGATTCGTGTCGTTTCATGTGGACTTTCACCTTGTTTATTGACAATATAATGCGACTTTTATTATTTAAAAAGTACTATAAATCTTTTAAAACTATCAGAAAGTATTCTATGGATAATGCACGCGCCCTTGGGCACGCATAGAGTTGACATTTGTGCGCCATTTCTGTTTTGTTTTTGTTTTTTTTTAATGCGCAAATCCCGTAATGGCGCGGCCTGGTAAGAACACTGCAATGTAGGTGTAGAATATCCCATGCTTAAGGTATATGAGAGGTTTACATCAATTAGTGCACATGACCAGGGCAGAGGTAGAATATTCCTTCCCCCCACCCCACCCCCCTCCCCCTCTCCCTGGTATTTCATAACCATTCCCATCGTTTCATCTTATTTTCTCCTCATTCAGATTTCGAACATGGCATTAACAAAGTTGGCTACTTCCTCCAAGACATTCTACTCAAAGAACCACTGAGTTCATCTGCTGAAACACAACGAAAAGAGTGCTTGGAACACCTCCTGGAGATGTCCAACACTCTACACATGTTAAAGCACTATCCCACGTGTGGCGACTCCAGTCTAATCAATACCGGTCTTTCGCAATCAAGTCAGAATTTGAACGACAATGAAAATGAGTTTGGAGTGACGGATATACCACGAAGTGGTTCGTTACCTAATATACCAAGTTCTGGTGGCGAGGGGTCTTCGCGGAGTGACAGTGTAAGGGTTTGAATATGATTTTCGTGATATTTTAATTATTATGACTTACATAGCAGGGAAGGCGGGGAAGTTAGAGAAATTGAATGAATGGATGGGAAGATGGAAGGGGGAGAGGGAGAGGGAGAGTGGATGGAAGAATGGATCGATAAATGGATGGAGCGTGAAATGAAATGGATGGGTGGGAGGAAGGGGGAATTGCCTTTGATGGATGGATGAATGGATGGATGGATGGAAAGGAAGCGTGGATCGAATGATGGATGGACGGACGGACGGAGTGAATAAACGAATGGATGGCGAGTGAATAAAGGAATGGATAATTGAAATTCAATTTAAAAGATTGGAATTAAAAATTATTTTTTTCTCAATTTATGACATCTAGAAATTTAAAACGGATATTTAATATATTATTTAAAAATAGTAGTATTAATAATTACCGAGTGACAAAAACACATTTCATAAATTCACAATTATATAATATGTTTTTCTTTATAAAAGTATAGGAAAAAATAAATAAAGATACAGTTTTCAGTAATGAAATCTAAAGTCACATTTCATGTTGAAAAGAAAATCCTTTCTTCCTTTTCTACACTCCCCCTTCTCTTGAACTAACCCTTCTAATAACACTTCAATACCAGGACAAAGCATCGGACAGCGATTTCAAGCTTACAGACATGCGCGAGCTTGTGATCTACGATCCAATAGAAGAAGAGGAAGAAGAAGAAGACGAGGACGAAGAAGACGAGGACGAAGAAGACGAGACAGATCCCTTAAAGCTCTCTTCAAGCTCGCGCTCCTCTATTAAGCGTAGTCGTAAACGAGACAGCGCTGTACTATTTGATATCTCTCTCGGTGACCTCGAAGACTTTGATTTGGCTGGATTTCTAACTGAGAAGCATAGCCTCAAACAGTGGTACTGCGTCTTAATGGACCAACATCTTTGCTTATTCCCAAGTCAAGATCCAAGTGAGGTCGCCTATGATGTAGTTATTCTACCTTATTGTCAAATCTCCCTTGACGACCGGTTGATGCGCACGCCGGTATTCCGTCTGACACAGCCCGGGATGACACCCTGGGTGCTTGTCGCTAAGAACAACGAGGAGCTAAAGGAATGGATCAATGCTTTGACTACAGCAGCGTCTGGTGGGAAGTATAACATGACGAGTTCAGCCGGCGCAGTCAGTGAAAGACGGTCAAGCAAAACTTCGTGTGCGCAAAGCATGCAAGCTATTACCGAGGAAGAAATCACAGAAGAAGCAGAAGAAAAAGAAGAAGAAAAACAAGAAGAAAAACAAGATAACTCTAAGCAACTGAACTCTCTTTCTGTGTCTACTTTAGCTAAACCTTCTTTGACAGCAACATCTGAAGAGAAGGTAAAATGGATTAACAATAACACACCTTAAACCTTTTTACAAAACTTTTTTTTAAATCGTAACTTCATTTATAACTTCTATAAAATTGAAATATAAACTTTGACTTGCGCAACAGTTTTGCGCAAATAAACTATTTAAAAAAACCCTAAATACATAAATATTTTTACAAGCTACGAAAAAATTGTCGCTAAAATTTGCTCCCTATTTGCCTGCTTGGTTTATAAGAAAAACTCTATTAAACGGCCACTCTCAGGAAATCGTCAAATGGACGGTCGCTAAACATAAGTTGGTTCACGCCTTCTTTGATCTACCTTTTTTTTCTATTTCGCCTTCTTTCCCAGTGATCCATTTTTATGACCCACCCTCCCCTCCCCCCGCTAATCCTGCCTCCCATCTTCGATAGCATTCGCTTCCCTTCTTAACATCCTTCTTTCTTCCTCTAATATAATTCTTAAGTGCGCGCACTGTATCGTTGAATGAAATTTTTATTTTTGATTCAGGAAAAAGTAGAATCCGAACAACTCGATATCAAAAAAATCGAAGAGCATTCAGCCCAAGAACAAGAAAAGCTTCCGGCATTCCCAATGAGTCCAGATACCGAGGAGACGTTCGGGGAAGATTTGTACGAATCGATTGAGAACTACGAAGAGTATGAGGACGACGGTTTCGCAACCGATGAGTTTGAAAGTGGATCGTCTGACAACGATGATACACCATCAACGAGTCCCAAAGGATCGCCAAAGCTACAGCAGAAGACGAAGAAGAAGAATCAAATCTTTAAATGGCTTAAGAAGAAAGCGCGAGGTAAGGAAAGGTTGTTCTCGAGCCCTCAAGATGGTGTTGCGCTGGCAGGGTATGTTCATCGCATCGAAAATAACGCCTGCGTTAAGCGATGGTGTGTCGTGCGTGAAGGCAAAATCTATTGCTACAAGAACATCAAAGATGAAGATACTGAACTCACCCTCGAACTGGAGGGCGCGGAGATCAGAGCAAAGGAAGAAGAGAAAAACAAATTTGTTATTCGCGTTATGAGAGACAACGAGAGGCTGTTGACGCTGCTAACGAAGAATACCAGGGATATGGACAAATGGAAAACCGCCCTGAGAATCGAATCGGGTTTTATCAAGCTGGCAACTCCTGCCGATACGAGTTCAGGGATCTTCGAAGACGATGAAGGCGATTATGTTACGCCTATTACTCCTGTTGGTCTACAGAAGGTCTCCAAAGCTCCGAGTAAACCCGCCACAGATTCCGATACCAATAGTAATCCTCTTGCTAATGGAAAAGACGAAGAGAGTGGTTATCTGGAGGTAGTTTTTGATAAAAATAAATCCAACGATGCGAAAAAAGGGAATGCCTCAAGACCGCTTAGTCCCCTCTTAGTGAATGCACCAAGACCTCTTAGTCCGATGGGAAAGAAGTCCCCAGATCAGGAGTTCTTAGGTCCACTTCCGCCACTTCCAATCGACGCACAACCCCCCACCCTACCCCCTCCAAGGCGATCTCCGGTACCTCAAGCCGATATCCAAGAAAAGAAAGAGGAGGGCGAAGGTTCTGAGGAGTCTGAGGATTTGTACGAAGAGTTGATAAACCCGCTGCCAAATGCTGATAAACTGAGTAACTGGCATAAGAAGGAGCATGAGGAAAAGGAAGACGACGCTGAAGAAGAGAAAGGTGAGTGATGAAGAATCTTCATGATCCCACCTCCCACTCCTCCTCCTCCTCCTCCTCCCCCTCTCTTCCTCTCCTCCTCCTCTCCTCCTCTCCTCCTCCTCCTCTCCTCCTCCTCTCCTCCTCTCCTCCTCCTCCTCTCCTCCTTCTCTCCTCCTCCTACTCTCTTCCTCCTCCTCTCCTCTCCTCCTCCTCTTCCCTCCCCTTCCCCTTCTCCTCCCCCTACTCTCTCCCATTTCCCCCCTCCTCTCCTCCTCTCCTCCCTCCTCGCCCCTATCGAATCTGATCAGACCCCTTTCCCTTAGGTGTAATCTTTCTCATTTCAGACCACATGTCATTCTCTTGAGGACAAGATACTTTGATCGATTTATGTATCTTCTTATGCGCAACGGTTAAACAAAGAAATGATACTCTAGGGAATGACACGTGGTCTGTAATAGGAAAAGATTGCACCGCGACGAATAAGGCCCATTGAATATCTAGCAATTGGTCCTCGAACCCCAATGAACTATGAATCAATGGCCCATGAGGCCGAAACTTGTTTTAAATTAAAGTTAAATTTAATGTTTTTGGTTTTCAAAGCCGGCACTTTTCGCTACTAGTAGGCTGTAACGTATATAGCCTACTAGTAGCTCATCCAATCAGAATGCAGCATTAATGACAGACCACTAATTGAATTTGACTAATGTTGTTTATATTTACAGACTTCGTATCGCAAGACGCGATCCATACAGCATCAGACGATCAAGCGTTGATTCCCGAGAAACCACCCTTGTTGAGGAAGGTGTCATTCGACGATAAAGTTGAGGTGTGATTGTATTTCAATAGTAAGATTCACATATGTACCCAGTCGTGATATATTTTAGTATTCGTCTTCTCATTGCAAATGGTACGGTAACGGAGCAGACTTGATATGACTKTGTATGAACTCACACCACAGGCGGTCCGTGCGGTATCTTCAGTACTGCGTTGTCTCAGCGTTTTGTCTCGCTGTGATTGGTCCAAAAGATTTCGTCACCTCGTTCCGTACCGTGACCGTGTTCTTTGCTGTAATTTTTGTCCAATGAGATTCGATTTAGCTGACAACAGCATATTACCCAAAACATTGTAGATTTGAGGTTACTTAACATCTAATTAAAATGATCGTACTCTACCCGTCACGGTTACGGTACRCGACTAAAAATTTTAATAGGACGTTTGCATGATGGCGCCGTTTGATTCCCACTAACATAATGCTTCGCGAATTTTTTTTTCTTTTTTAAATTTGTATTCCCTCATGAGAACTGTAAGACAATAGGTGTTTATTAACTGGACAAACGAAAGTGTGCAAGGGAGTCTGGTAGTAGAGGTCAATGACTTCATCGTGCAAATGTCCTATTTAAACCTGTTCCATAATTGGCTGAACAATGTTGTCCTTGCCTTCTGATTGGATAATAATCTTGAACTGTAATTGCTATTAACAAAGGTTGTTTTTTTWAAAATTGAATTCAGGTTATCAATAAACACTTACCCCCGTCAATGTTACCAGAAGTCGAGAACGACACAGATAATGGCAACAATAAATTAGACAATGAAATACCACAGGCAACCCAAGCCAGCGAACAAGAAAAGACAGTGCCAAGCCCAGTTAACAAACCAAATGAAAAGGACATTCGCAGTCTTCCTCGAAGGACGTTAAAAGACAGTTGGATAAAGGAAAAGGGTTCTTCGGACGATAAACCGCGAAGAAAAATTTTGTCAAATGGGATAAAAAATGGTAAGCGGTTTCATTAGTAATGGCATGCGCTTATATTAAAAAGTAAATTAAGAAACATTTTATAGAGCGGGCGTCACAGCCGCCATATTGGACAATTTACCTTTGACAGCAACTTTTATTCACTAGTTTTGTTTTGTTAGGTACCTGCACCAGGGTAATCTATATAGATGTATTGAAGACTTTTTAAACAGCAAATGTTGTTGCGCAGAAGCAAATTTTGAACTATTCAAAGTTTTTAACATATTAACATTGTTGGCAGCTTTGCGCAACTCTGTCAGAGGAGGAGTACTCTATATAGATGTATTGAAGGAGGACACACCGTGCAATGGTCCTTCGTAATCCATGTTTTCCCATTTCAGACCACGTGTCACTCTTCAGAGATATAAATTTTGAGCAAACATTAATTTCCTTTTGTGTTTTAGAAGAGGACGAGGAAAGAGCGATCATACAAAAGACAGAAGATGAATTTTTTGAAATGGCAAAGGCGTTGAAGGAACAAGGTTCTGCCGCAGTCCGTCAGAAGCGGCCATCTTTCGTAGCGATGAATAGAATTGCCTTCGAAAACAAGAAAAGAGAGCTAATTACAGACGGCTCAAAAATCGTCACCCGAAGCCAAGCATTGAACAAAGAAAAAGCTGACTTAYTCGCGCGGATAGAATTCCAGAAACGAAGAGTTGCTGTTGCAAAAGACCGTAAAATATTTTTTACTTTCTCAAACACAAGTAACACCGCGATGGCAGACGCGGAGATGGAGTTTCACGAGTCTCAACTTGGACTTGCTAAAGCAAAACGTCGGATAGCAGATATTGACAATGAACTGAAAAATATAGATTTGTTGGAATTAAAGCACCAAAAGCGTGACGATGTGGTTAAAAAGCCTGTTAAAACGAGAGAATTAAAAGTGTTGAACATAGATGGGGAAGAAGTAAAGGCAACTGCTGTACAATCTAAAGTGGAGGATGAGCGTGCGCAGTTGTTACGAGGGAACGTCTTGTCAAAAAAACAGGTACTTTATGGGACTTTATGCCTTGGTAAACAGCGCCATGCTGTGCTGTGCTGTGCTGTGCTGTGCTGTGCTGTGCTGTGCTGTGCTGTGCTGTGCTGTGCTGTGCTGTGCTGTGCTCCGCTTTGTTTTGTTTTGCTGTGCTGTGCTGTATCGTGCCCGTGGCGCACTCTGTTTAGCTGTTTTACGATCTTTGCTCTGCTTTACTTTGCTCGGTCTGTTTGTGAACCAGTCACCTAGTGCTTTCTTCCTGTTCAACTTCTCAACACCCTATCACAATCTCATTCCACAGGTATTCGAAAAAATGGGCGGAAAAARGTAAAAAAAGAAGTAATAATATTAATATATCTCAACAACACGAAAACTGGATTCAAGGCAAGCCAGTCCACCAAGGAACTCACGTCGCAAAATACAGCGATGTTTTCTACGGCATGAAACGCGTCGCTACAAAGACCAAGACCTGCAAGACTGTGGATCGAAGCGAAAGAATAGAAGTAATAAAGAACAGGCAATATGTTTCACTAAGCTTGTTTTAGTAAACATACATTTTACAATTTTAAAAACAAATTAAATTAATATAATTGAAATTACAGAATATTCTTAATTAAGATAAATAGGTTGTATATGCAATGTATATTTGCCTTTCCAAGGATCGATGAAAGACTGGTAACGATCTCGGGATGCATGGGATTGTGGGATTGAATGGGGCTGTCATTTGTGTTCCCCATCCAGCCCCATAATCCTTTGCACCCCGAGGTCGTCTTCCTTTGATGTTCGGTAAAGCAATTTGTTTCTTGCGTGGCATTTTCTTTCGGTTGAGTTACATGAGGTATTCCTATTTAGTTTAAATTCATGTTTTTCCATCTCAGACCAAGTGCCATTCCCTAGAGTATCATTTCTTTGTTTAACGGTTGCACATGAGAAGACACATGAATATAGATACAACTCAAACGAAAAATCTTATTCTTAAGGGAATGGTACGGGATTAATGGGAAAACGTTACAGCCTTACTTGGTTGCGGGAAATAACATTGTGTTCCTGTGTTAAGCGTTCCTCTTGGAATGTTGAGAAAATCTTTATTAAAGGGTTTATTAAGTAGTTTGGGATCCCTGTGTAGCATGTTGTTGTGTTAAGCCCCGTTTGCACTGGCGATTTTTGCGGCGATCTTTGCTGCGATTTTTGTGGCAATTTTCGGACATATGAAATCTTTTGTCTCATCCTTCAAAAGAGACATTCGTCTAGGAAAATCTTGGTATCCTGAAAAAAACTTTACAAGTAAATTCTTTACCATTATTTATTATGGACAGGATCGCCGAAAAAATCACAGCAAAAATCGCCGCAAAACTCGCTAGTGTAAACGGGGATTTAGTTCAATTCCACCTGGAATTTTTAGCAAATCTTCATGATCAGATCATTAATTTCAATGAGTACTTTGGGATCCCTGAGCAGCATATTACGGTGTTCACTTATTCTTGGGATATTTAACACATGTTAAATATGTTACTTTATTAATTCAATAATAATTTACGTTACAATAAATCAAAAGTCAATATTTTATATTTCCTTGTCTTTTTTGTTTCAATTTGAGCTACGTTTTCCCATTTCTGTTCCATCTATATTGTTGATACCATCTAGAAGGACAATGCATTTTAAAAATCTGAAAAATGAATTGTCCTTCTAGATGGTATTGACCTATGTTATCCTACAATTTGGAAGGGCAAAGCTCACAAAAGGCCGGTTTAGACCGGTACGATTTTCGCCTACAACCACCGTATACCGTCACGCTCGCGTCTGTCGTAGGCGAGTTGTAGGCTTGATTTACACGCTACGACTCGAGTTGTAGGATGGCGCGAGCGTGTYGTATACGATAGTTGTAGGCGAAAATCGTACCGTCTAAACCGGCCTAAATAAATTAACCTTCTAGATGGTATTAAGCTTTGTTTAAATAAATTATATTAAATTAAATTAGTGTTATTTATTCTCTAGTGGATTGCTACCGAGTTAGCGCAAAAAAATAGAGCTTAAGAGGCACAAAGATGCGAGTTTCGAAAGTATCCCAATTCCAAAAGTGCAAAACAAAATGACAATCTATATATTTTATGTGGGCATATTAACTCTCTAACAGCCATTATTTAAAAATATTGAAGCTTGCGATGACATCGGTATAACCATTTTCTTCTACAATACAAAACTAGTGATATAAAATATTCAAATATGCCATGCATTTTTCGCTGGGAATTCAGAACCGGAGAAAAATTATCACCCAAATTGTAATGTAAATCACAGGTTGTTCTGTAAACGTGAGGCGTTGTGTGCCTCTATGGATGTGGTTTCGAGATTTGTCTTTCATAAATCACTAGCTCGAAAACTGGTTCACGAGCGAATAAATCACTCGTCAAATGAAGGAAAGATGAAGCTACTTTCGCTGGCAATCTTGAACAATGGATTCGAGATTTATGCAGCTGACGGAAGACGAAAGATATGAAGGTATTTATGTCAATAATTAAGCATGAAGTTTGTGGGTAAATGAAGAACTATATATTTATTGCTGATAATAAATTATATTTAACTATCTTTATTCTTACTGCCGTGGGAAAACGTAGATTTTCAACTACAATTAAACTCTTTACTTTTGCTTGTCAAGATACTAGTGCATGTCGGCTGTGTCGAAGAAGAAGAATGAGAAAATACTCGGTTAAAACCTTCATTATCTTATTTCGTTTGAGGTATTTTAGTCATGATATTACATAACGTAAACTCCTTTAAAACTAATCTCATACAGTTCCGGAAGAACTCATATGTTAAAGAAGCGAAAGGAAGTACAGAGAAGTATGTCTCATTGATAAAGTAAGAAGCAGTTATGAAAGCTGGCCGCGTTGAAGCGCGACCAACCATTATAAACAGTTCGAATATATTAATCACGTTCAAATTTAGCTCTATTGTTTGAGTGACCATTGTCCGTTTTAACCAAAACGCGCTTCTCTCTCGAATGCGTGACAAAAATGTAGAAAGGGAGGCAGCGATTAGTCAATGTCAGTATATTACCTCTTCCAGCTTCTTCCTCTGAAACCCAAAACAAACTAAACTAAACTGCTTTATCCACCATTTTACTCTCTCTCACGCCGGTTTCCGCTCGTGCTTTGGCGGAAACAAAGCGTTGCTCTTCTCGTGGTGTGCAGTGCTTATTTTGGCGGGAACTTGACTTGTCGCGCGTGCTTGTCGGGTAAATTATTTTTTGTTTAAACCCAATTTTTTAAACAAAACTTGACTGATTTTTCTAAAAATTATTTATAGCATTTATTATAGAATACTTCTTATCCGGCTTCTCTTTATTTATCGGTCTCCAATCTCTATTAAATAGAAACATTCACTTTCTAATATTCATTTTCGTTTTGATTGTAATGCTTCACCTCGAATTGTTCATTTTAGYCATATACTTCCTCTGAAAAAGACTTGACACAGTGGTTTGTAAAACTATTCAAATTTTGAAACAAACGGCTACACCCTAAAAATAAAATCATTTGATTGGTTGAGAAAAGATATTAATATAAAGGTCGCAGTCTCATTTCCCATCACTTTATCTTATCTACTGTTGATAAAGTGCTTATACAGTTGCTCTTCCTTGCTGTATAAGCCAACATGGTTCGCTTGGAACTTATCGTTTTGGTCGCTTTACAAATTTTGCTGGTCAAAAGCTTCCCTGCTGACGTTTTGATCCAAAATGCGGATAATTCAGAAGCCAAAGCGATGAACGAAGACCGTAAGTGAAACCCATTTCAAATCAATATAAATTTTAGACCAGAATTTGAAATGCACATCTCATTTTCAATTTGTTTTTTTTTTAAATACGCTAAAATATATTTCAAAAATTTAATACACTAAAATATGTTTAAAAAACTTGAAGTTCTTTTATATTTTCTCTTTACGGTTTTATATTGACTTCGGATGCCTCTGTTTCGACAAGCTTGTTTTACGACTTTCGTTTCTTTACACTCCTTAATTTGGTTTTGCTTTTCACACAGAAATGACCAAAAATATAATTGTTTGGATGGATATAAAAAGAACATCTTTAAAAAAATTTATCTCAGAAGTTTTGCTCAATGTATAAAATTTAGAACAAATTAGTATACCTATTTTCACTTTAAAAACGTTGACCAAGAATATTCTGTGTTTCAAAGATTTTTTGTATTTCTAGCTTCTTAGGATTTAATAAAATAAGCTCATTAAATTCATCTTTTTAAATTTTTTTTTTCGATTAGTGTTTTATACTGAGATATATTTTTTTGGTAGGGTCCAAATATGAGGTTCATATGACATGAAAATACCATCATTACTTTCGGTCTATTTGCTGGTAGCACACATTGTAAAACCACAAAAACTACCTACTCATATTCATAAAGACTATAATGTATGCATTGCTGAAGCATTCGTCGTAATGGTTTGAATATATTTTTTGATTGGTATGGAGACGCATGAAGCGAAAATGAATGACAGCTAAAAATGGCAGGTGCAGCTTGCTTTAAATAGCATTTTTTCATTTCTTTTATTTCAGGTTTTCAAAGAAYGTATATTGTATTTTTTTTTTTCCTTTGTAAATTTTCATTCTTTCGACCTATCTTTCCCTCTCATCGCCAGCGAGGTAGACTCTGCTAGCTTGATCAACATTCAAGCTCATTTCTGCGAATGAATTATTCCCAAGTGCTTAAACAATTTTTTTTGAAGCAGAATATATTACTGAAGCGTGTGGAACTGAATCAGTAGCGAAAGCAGTACATAGGAAAGGTCAACGTACCATTTTCCCGCCAAAGCAAACGCGTGCGCGTTTAAGCTTTAGAGTGTCCCGTCATATCCACAGGTTTAGTAGAACTTTGGGGGGAGGGGGAAGGGGGACACAACTAGAACTTTGGGGGGAGGGGGAAGAGGGACTTTGGGAGGAGGGGGAAGGGGAAAACAACTAAAACTTGGGGGGGAGGGGGAAGGGGGACACAACTGGAACTTTGGGAGGAGGGGGAAGGGGGACACAACTTCCAGATGAGAAAGAAGAGAAAAACAAAATTTTAAAGGATTGAAATGTTGGAAATTCAAATCAAATATTGGTTCAATATCAAAACGTATTTATTTGACTCACAGTTGATGATCTGATAAATGAAGTACCCAACACAGAGAACTCCAATCGAATGGAAGAGACATGTAAGTATAAGTAGCACCTACAAGTTCGTATTGTTATTATTAAAGCTACGAAAAAACTCACAAGCTTGCGGTGACCATGATTCAATCACTTCGACAAAACGGCGGCCATCTTGGATTCCAAGGAATTATGGGGCGTCTACGGGCGACTCTATATAGAGGCTTTGCACCATCACGTGATGGCAGCCATGACCGGAGGCACAACAGTGGTGTCTCCCCCAGCGAAAAGGAATTCTTTCTCATGTAAATCAAATTAGACCAGATTCAATAGCGCAGCTCAGTGATTCTAAAAATAGCTTAAAGATTCGGACAAACATTGCATTCTGTTTAACCGCTACGAGGATTATACGAACGGATTTTAATTATTTTTACTTAAAGTTACAATAACAACCCATGTAAACTAAGATCAACTGCGATCGGCTGTGAAAAGTATCTGCTGAAAGTAAACTTGTAAGTTTGTTTGTCCGAATTTCGCCTTTGTCTTCGTTTTTGTGACGTCACGGCTGCGCTACGCTATTGTTCCTGCCTCCTGTAATGGCTGCGATCACGTGATGGTACAAAGCCTCTTTAGAGATCTTCTACACATCTAACTCTAAAGCATCTTAACGCCATGCCTGATAATGTGCGCTTTACTTGAACGCAAACAAAGCATACTTAAAAATGTAGAATATCTTTGTAAGATTTCCCCATTAAACTACATAGTGATTATTGAAGAAATAGAAAACGCGCGCGCGTGCTGTGTGCATGCGCAGTCCTAGAAGTGTTATGAGAAGCACGATGCGTAGCAGAGTGCTTCTGGACACTTCTCGAGTGTTCTGTCAATCCACAAGTGCTTTATAACTGCAAACAGCGCAGCGCAGCGTGCAATGTGCTCTCATAAAGCTGGCGCTCCCAACCAATCAGAAGGCGGCATCTATAACAGTTATTTTCAAAATATTTTCTCTTTTGATAATTAGTCGACAATGTATCAGAGGAAACTGATCAAGGATATGAAAGTGAACATAACGAAGAAAGTTGTAAGTACCTAGCTTTGGATATTTCAGTCATTAATTACAAAGCCTAACAGCTTCAAAACAGTACCCACAGCTACAACAACATATACAGCAACAGCAGCAACGACAACAACCGCAACAGCAGCAACGACAACAACAACAACAACAGCAACAGCAGCAACTACAACAACAACAACAGCAACAGCAGCAACAACAGCAGCAACGACAACAACAACAACAGCAACAGAAGCAACAACAACAACACTGACAACAGCAACAGAAGCAACAACAGCAGCAACAACAACAACAACAGAAGCAACAACAGCAGCAACAGCAATCAACAACAACAGCAGCAGCAACAACAGCAGCAACAGCAATCAACAACAACA